GGAACTGCCTCTATAGTGGCTTGAAGGGCCGACGTGTGAACGCATTACATACAACACACGTACATTGCCGGCGAATGACCTCCTCTCGTCCATACATACCGCTTGGTATGTATGTCCAGTATGTTGAATTTCTTTTGCATTGTACGTAGCCAGCCATGCTAAGTGGGGGAACCAGACACAGTGCAGATACCACTCGGCCACCGATGTTAGCCGTGGGCCGGTGGTCGAACCCAGGCTGTGCCGAGTTCATAGCCCGGTGCGCTATCGACCCCGGTGAACCCATTACTTACAACGTATGCGGATATAAAAAAAAAAACAACAGCAACTGCCACAGCTGCTTACTCGCGATGCAAAGCTCTGCGTCGCGAGCTTAAGAATCAACCGATGAATTGGTTCGTCGTTCGGCTCTCGGCATTATCCCCACATCGGCCGCGCAACGCTGTGCGGCAAGCTGCTTAACCTGTCACTCCACTATCCACACAGGTCCGAGTCTTCTTGGCCACGCTCCCTCCTGGTGTCTGCTTGCGATTCCTGGCCGAATGTTCACCCTCCTCCCGCACCAGGTTAACCCGGCACCCGGTTCGGTTACCGACGTAGGCCGTGAGCGGGAAATTCCCGGCCCATGTTGCCGGGTTTGTAGCGCAGTCCCGAATAACCACTGCGCTACCGCTACCCACCCCAAAGACAAAGGTCACCCGCTTCGCCTTTAACAGACTGTTGGGGCAAGTGCTGTTAGCGAGCACCTGCGAAGGCCAACACGGCACACGAGGGGGTGGCTGGCACCCGGCCGCCTTTGTCTCCCTAGTGGCGATGTTCACACACCGCACCAGGTACTCATTTGGGGCTGAGTCGAACTAGGGGAGGCCCATAACCAGTTCAGTTTATCGTCGCTGGTGTTGGCTGTCGCCGGGTTCGTAGCGCAGCGTAGCGCTAACCGCTACACCACCACGCCCCACACACACACACGTGTGCACACGCCCCATTTGCTGACCAAGCCCCGCACCCTCGTGATTGGTGCTCGCCCCCCCCTCCTAATTGGCGTGCAGAGCGTCGCGCCAAGCGGGGGTTAACGCTGCCCCCCCCCCCTCCCCAACCCACCCACCACCGCGGCAGCGAAGCCTCTGCGGCGATTGCGGAGGCAGAGCACGCGCGGCTCGAATGCCGCTGCACTTGCCCCGTCACGCGCCGCCGGCACCTCCACAACCCCGGCGTCACACCGCGCTCGCGGCCACCGCAGCGGCCGACCGCGGAGCGTCGGTTTGGGCGGTGCGCCAAGCGGTGTGCATCGTCGCGTCTCGCATACGACGCGTTTGAAAGGGCGCCCCCAGCGATAGCTGGGGGCGCCTGGCCCTGCGAGCGGGCATCGGTCTCCTGCCGGCCGGTGGGGCGACGATTGCCGCCGCGTGGCCTAGCCCGGGGCACCCCCAGCGGCCGCGGTTCCCGTGTGGCACGAGGTGGCACGTCGGCGCCAGGCCCGTGAGAGGGCACGAGTCTCCCGATTGCTGCGGTGCGTGTAATCCCGACGGAGTCATTTACCGTGCGATCTTTCGACCGTGACGCCGGCACACAATGGCCTATTCGAGTCGGAACGACCGCTGCGTGGCAGACGTGTGGCGTGTTGTTACGGTTAACACGACGCAACCGCAGTGATCGCCGGGGCTGCCCGCCTAAGCGGAACCGCGAACCTCGGCAACAAGCGGCGAGCGGCCTAAGTGATCGGCGCCACCGCGCCGTAAACCCCGGGAGCCCGAGTTAGATTCCCGGCCACGACCGTGACATCGCATTCCCTCGGTTGACTCGGCCGTAAAATAAGTACCCTGGTGCGGTGTGTAAAGGCAAAGCACTGGGGAGACAAAGGCGGCCGGGTGTGGTGTTGCCCACCGACCCCGTCGTGCGCTGTGCCGGCCTTCAGCACTTGCCCCAACAATCGGTTGAAGGTTATCCCGGGGGATCTTTGTCTTTGTGGTTATGCGAGTGTGCAGACTTGCACGAGCTGTGTTCCACGTGGAGGATTGTGTGCGTGGCATTGAGAATTCGGTACTGTGTGTGTAACGCAGTAACGCACGATGTTACATTGTGTTACACGCGTTCATTGCTGTGTGTACAACACTGTCGAGGCTACACGGGGGTGCGGGAGGGGGGATCTTTTTATCTTTCTCTTTGTACATCAATGCATCTGCCAGTAATCTCGGTCAGCAGCGGCCCTTCGACATTTCACATGGCCTCAAAGTGCACCGAGCCTGGCACAAGCACGGCTGGTGACGTCACCTCCACTTGGTGGCGAACGGCGGCCGTCGTCGTACGGCGCTGCGCGTTGCAGTGTGCCGTCAGTGCCGTGCGTGCGCGTTTGTGTGCAAAGGGGCCGTGTGGGGAAACCTTGTGTGTGTGTGTGTGTTTAAAGGGCCGTGTGGGGAACCCGTGAGTGTGAGCGTGTGTGTGTGTAAAGGGCCGTGTGGGGAACCCGTGTGCGTGAGTGTGTGTGAGCGTGTGTGTGTGTGTGTAAAGGGCCGTGTGGGGAACCCGTGTGTGTGTGCGTGAGTGTGTGCGTGTGAGCGTGTGCGTGTGTAAAGGGCCGTGTGGGGAACCCGTGTGTGTGTAAAGAGCCGTGTGGGGAAACCTTGTGTGAGCGTGTGTGTGAGCGTGTGTGTGTAAAGGGCCGTGTGGGGAACCCGTGTGCGTGAGTGTGTGCGTGTGAGCGTGTGTGTGTGCAAGGGGGCCGTGTGGGGAAACCTTGTGTAGCGGTTAGCGCGCTGCGCTATGAACCTGGCGACCCGGGTTCGATTCCCGCTCACGGCCAACACCAGTGACGATTATCTGAACCGGTCCCGGGCCTCCCCTAGGTCGACTCAGCCTCAAATGAGTACCTGGTACGGTGTGTAAACATCGCGACTGGGGAGACAAAGGCGGTCGGGCGTGGTGCTGGCCACCCACCCCCTCGTGTACCGTTCCGGCCTTCATAGGTGCTCGCTAACAGCACTTGCCCCTACAGTCTGTTAAGGCTATACGGGGGATCTTTGTTTGATCTTTGTGCAAGGGGGCCGTGTGGGGAAACCTTGTGTGTGTGTGAGTGCGTGCGTGCGCGTGTGTGTGCGTGTGAGCGTGTGTGTGTGTGCAAGGGGGCCGTGTGGGGAAACCTTGTGTGAGTGCGTGCGTGCGTGTGTGTGTAAGGGGTCCCACTGGGGAGACCAAGGCGGCTCGGGGCGTTGTGCTTTCCCCGCATCTCCACCCTGAGTGATGGTAATGACCAAAATGGGCGCTCGCTCACGGCGTGTAAACCCCCCCCCCCCCCAAACAGTTAGCGATAGGCAGACACGGCGGGGGGCGGGGGGGGGGGGGCGCTGCACCGTGCCACCCAAGCCGGGGGATGAAAGGCCGAGAGTGTCGACATTGGCGAATGCGAAGTGGCCGCCGCATTGAGTTCCGGCTGAGAGACGTTGCGCCGATGCGCGTCGTGCGGCCGCTTCGTCCGTCCCTGCCGCGAGCGGGGAGGCTCCCCCTCTTCCCCCCCAGCCGTCCGTGCTGTGTAGGCTGCCAACACAGCACGGAACGGTGCGAATGAAGAGCACTCCTCGGACTGCGGTGCCCCCCCCCCACCTGCCCTTTCCTCCCAACTGTTCGACTGGCCGGCCATCTGCGTAACCACCCAGTCGCTCGGCAGTTTGGCCATCGACCCAGCCACCTACATGGACATCAGCCCAGCCACCTACATAGACATCAACCCAGCCACCCATCAACCCAGCCACCCATCAACCCAGCCACCTACATAGACATCAACCCAGCCACCTACATAGACACCATCACCTATATACACTTCTATCCAGCCACACAGCCTCCTATGTATAAATCTTCCCAGCAATCTAAAATGCCGTCTACCCAGACACCCAGCCATCTACTGAGCCACATAACCCACCTATATAGCCATCTGCCCCCGCCACTCTCTGAAATAAATACTCCCAATTTTTTGTTTGTTCTAGCGTCGTAACAATCGGTCGCCTTCAAAACGCCTCCTCGTGTAAATCTGCGCGGGGTTTTCACCGTCGCGTTGGTCCGCTGCTGGCGCGGCGCGGCGCGGTAACGGAACCACCCCGCCCGCCGTCATCTCCCTTGCACCCCGTGATGGCGTGGACGCCGGAATCCATTGGGGGGACACTCGCGGAGCCTCCGCGCGCGCGTTGGCACGTGACTCTGCGTGGCGCGCGTTGGCACGTGACTCCCTCCATCGATCGTGCGGCCCGCCAGACGACACCGTCGACAAATTCTGCTCCGCATGGCCCACCCACGCTCGGCCGGGTCACGTTGGCCTCCGTCGGTGGCCGTATTTTTGGAGGTTGCCTTCCCAGTTGCCCGCTGAGGGCGAGCGAGCGGTCCGATTTCCCCTTTGGGCTTGGCTTCAGCGCGCCCGAATTCTGATCGCTTGGCCCCGGCGACAGTTCGACGGCCAAACGGCCGCCCTCGAAAAAAAAATTGGCGCAGTTCATCAGCGTTCTCGCCGAGATTGGCTCGGTCACGGGAGACCGCCCACTCACTCCGGGCGTTGACATTTCCTCGACCGGTTAGATCTGTGGGTCCCCCGGGAGCGCCCGCCCCCCCCCCCCCCACATCTCGCTTGAATAAGCCGCCGCGCCACAAATGACTTAATATATTTTTATCAGAAGTTCCCCGAGTGGCATTGGTCACCCTAACGAGCGTCTAAATGACCCATCGATCGCGCGCGTGCGAGCGCCTCGTGGAGAGATAGCGCAACGGCCGCCCCCCCCCCTACACTTCGCACTCCCCCCCCCCCCACCCACCGAATGTGACGGGGGGAGTGGTGCGGGGGGTGGGGGTTTCTCTCTCTTTTGCGACGTCCCTCTCAATTACTCTCGCACTGTCGTCGCATTGGGCGAAGATTTTATCGGCGGCGATGGATGAACTCGACCGCCCGTCCCCTGACCCTCCCCCCCCTCCCTCTTACCCCGTGATTGTGTTTACCCTCCCCCCGCTCGCCCCCCTCGATCCAGATCGCACGCAAGCGGGGCAAGGCCAAGGGGGGGTTCAAGAGCCCCCACTCGACCCACGCACGCCCCTCGCTCAAGCACGTGCTGCTCATGCCGCTCTCGCAGGTCAAGAAGGTGATGGACATCTACGAGACGGACGGTGAGTGCCTCGCCAGCTCGTGTGCCGTCGTGTGCTGCCGTGCGCCACCGTGTGTCCACGTGCTCCACCGTGTGTCCACGTGCTCCACCGTGTGTCCACGTGCTCCACCGTGTGTCCACGTGCTCCACCGTGTGTCCACGTGCTCCACCGTGTGTCCGCGTGCTCCACCGTGTGTCCGCGTGCTCCACCGTGTGTCCACGTGCTCCACCGTGTGTCCGCGTGCTCCACCGTGCGCCACCGTTCGTCGCGGTGCTTCACCGTGCGCCACCACGTGTCACCGTGTGCCGCAGTGGCTTGGTGTGCTGTGTGCGGCGGTGCGCGTGCGTGTGTGTGAGCGGTGTAAAATGTGTGTGTGTGTGTGAGAGGTGTAAAGTGTGTGCGTGTGTGTGTGCAGTGCTGGGGGGAGTGGTGGTGCAGTGGTTCGCGCACTGCACTTCAAACCCGGCAACGCGAGCTCCAATCCCACTCACGATAAAATAACACTGGGTCTCCCCAGTATGTATGTTGAACTTCTTTCGCACCGTTCCCTAGGTCGACTCGGCCTCAAATGAGTACCTGGTGCGATGTGTAAACATCGCCACTGGGGAGACAAAGGCGGCCGGGCGTGGTGTTGGCCACTCGCCCCCTCGTGTGCCGTGCCGGCCTTTAAAGTAACTCGCTAACAGCACTTGCCCTAACAGTCTGTTAAGGCTGCACGGGGGATTTTTGTCTTTTTGTGTGCGATGACCTATGCGGTTGAGCCGTGTGTGTTTGGGCTTGCAGGAGAACTTGTCGGTTTGTGTGTGTGTGTGTGCAAGCAGCCGTGCTTGCAAGTGCGTGCGTGCGTTCAGGGGCATGTGGGCGAGTCCGTGGGTGTGCGCGTCCATCTGTCTGTCTCCCTGCCACCCCGCCCCCGCGTCCGTGTCTCCTGACATCTCGCTATCGAACGAGATAAATGAGCGCGGTCCCGATCCTCCTCTCGCCCCGCCCCCTCTTCGGCGTCCCTCGCCACCGCCGGGCAGGCAGCGACGTTCCACGCTCCTCCGCCGTCGAACGCGGCGACGTTAACCCCGACGCCGCAGCCGGCACGCTCTCGGCACCGCATCCCACGGCGAGCGCCGGGTCGCGCCGCCTTCACCCGCCGACGTGAAGGTCGCCGGCGCACGGCAATTTGCGAAAGATTACCGTTTAATCTCCTGGGGTGGCGGCGCGGTGGCCCCGGTGTGAAATTGTTGAGGGGTGGCAGTGGTGGGGAGGAGGAGGGGGTTTGGGTGGTGTGCTCCGAGGAGTTGGGGGGTACGGGAGGTGAGGCCTGGCTGGGGTGGGGGGGGGTTGTGGCGGCGGTGGTTCACGCGCAGGGAGGAGGTGGAATCGCCGCGCGTGGCGTCGTCGCTACGCGCGGCGATTTGGAACGCCGGACTGCTGGCTGCGCTCCGATGCAGTTGGGACACTCGGCGCCAGCTCTTCTTCTAGCGCACAGCCGTATCGCGAAGGGAAGGCGCTGCAGCGTCGCACAGACGGCTGTTGCCTGCCGGCAGGGAGCAGCGTCGCCGCACGTGGCGCCGGAGAACGCCACGCGTGGCGCCGGAGAACGCCACGCGTGGCGCCGGAGAACGCCACGCGTGGCGCTGGAGCACGCCACGCGTGGCGCCGGAGAACACCGCGCGCGGCCCAGACGCGTCGCGGTGCCGGTCGGGAGGACCGAGGTGGGCTCGGAGTGGAGGGGAGGGGCGACGGCCGGCGGTCGAACCTCACGTGGGAACGGCGGGGGGGGGAGCTGCATGGGTTGCCGCGTCGCTCGACCGCGAGACGTGGCGACGGCTTGACAGCGGGGTCGGGGAGGGGTTGGTGGGCGGCCTTCATCCAGCAGTCGATAGATGGGGTCCGGTTACAATAACGCATCGCAGGCGACACCTTCTGTCACGCGCCCCTGCGCGTGGATTTTAAAGTCCACCGACCCTCGAGTGAGCCACGCGTGTCGATCGGTTTCCATTCGACGAATCCTAAATCGGCGGCGTTCCACAAATCCCCGACCTCGCTCCGTATTCCCACACCTCACCCCCCCCCCCCCCCCCACCGCGTGCCAAGGCTCCCTATTCAGGGGCCCACAGCAGCGCCGTCGATGACAAGTTATTCCTTTTGGCGTGCCGGGCGCGGAAAGCGCATTTATATATTTATTTCAACTAATCAAAACTTAGCGCGTCCTTGCGGGGGGGGGGGGGCGGGGGGCGGTCAGAGGATCGGCGGCGGCGGCGGCGCCCGGATTAACGAGCGCGCCGCGGTTACGGCACATCGACATGCGGCGCACGGTGCCGCCCGCTCGCCCTGCCGGCGTCCGGCGGAGTAAAGCGCTGACGCGGCCGTCTGGGCAATCGAGGAACTGTCGCTCGTGCGCGAGAACACTCCGCCGTGGAGGCTGGCAGCGCAATTCCCTGCCGCGGCGCAGCAAGCCTTTGCAGGGCGCTTCGAAAAAACGTTGACGCTTCGGAGAATTCGCAACGACGCCGCGGGAAACGTGCCCCCCCCCCCCCCCCCCCCCCCGGGCTCTGCAGACCACCTGGAGAAGATTCCAGAGGGCATGCGTTGACAGTGATGGCGATCAAGTGGGAGACTCTGACTTTCTGAAGCTATTAAAATACATTTGTAATGTTACAGCGTACTATCCATTCCTCTACCATTTAAAACGATCGTCCCATATAAGCGTTAAAAAAACATTTTTTGAAGCGCCCTGTATTTTTCTTCTTTGGTTCTTTCGGTAAAGTCACGTAGAATGAGAATAAAATAATAAATTGATAAAATAAAATAACACAATAATATTCTCACGACGTTTCGGCCACAACACAAGCGGCCTTCATCAGGTGAAGGGATTTCGCCCTGTATTTTTTTTAAAACTCCGCTCGCGACTCGTGCGAGAGGACGGTCCTGCCGGCCTCCACAGCTGCTGTGTGCAGTTGAGAAATCTTTCGGGCGATTCTTTTTAAAGATCGTTTTCAGCAGCGGGATTCATGGCGACGAATTACCCGTTCAAAATTGCACCTTTTCGTTTTTGTTTCGGCTACGCGGAGGAAAGCGGAGAACCCGTTGGAAACCCAGGTGGAAAGGCGAGTCCGGGTCGGGAATCGAACCCAGGCCCCCCCCCGTCCCTGCTGTGGGGTGCCAGGGTTAGCGCTGCGCCCGCCCCCTACCCTCCAATTTATTATTGGCTCCGCGGGTCCCGCTTCCTGCAGTGAACGCGACACGCAGGCTGTTTGTGGATGTGATCGGACTAACAGACGAGGTCTGGCTGGTGTGCGTGGAGCTTGAGTGCCGTTGCGGTGTGTGGGGGGGGGGAGGCACCATCCTTCGACGTGTGTAGGGGTTGCGGTGTGTGCAGTGGTTGCGGTGCACGATGTGTGTAGGGCTGACTGTGTGTGCAGTAGTTATAGTGCATGATGTGTGTGTAGTGGTTACGGTGTGCGCGGTGTGTAGTGGTTCAGGTGTGCGCAGTGTGTGTGGTGATCACAGTGTGTAGGGGTTACCGTGCGTGCAGTGGTTATGGAACGCGGTGTGTGTGTGTCGTGGTTACGGTGCGCCGTGTGTGTGTGGTGGTTGCGGTGTGTGTGTGTGGTGGTTACGGTGCGCCGTGTGTGTGTGTGTCGTGGTTACGGTGTGTAGGGGTTACTGTGTATGTAGGGGTTACGGAGCCTTCGCTCCGTGTTTTCAATCAAAGGCAGCGACGCGCGCTCACACGGCGATTCCCCAGCGAGCGGACACGGGCCCCGACTGCCAAACACGCGGCTCGCTTGCTCGGCCAGCTCGACCCCTTGCTCATCCCCGCTCGCCCCCTCTCGCCTTCTCGTCCCGCTCGCCCGCTTGCTCGCCCCGCTCGCCCCCTCGCCCCGCTCACCCCTTTCGCCCGCTCGCCTCGCTCGTCCCCCTCGCCCTGCTTACCCCGCAGGACGCGGTGCTCACCGACCGGGCCAGTGGCGGCGGTGGTGGAGGGGTTAATGGCGTTTGGGAGGGGGGGTGGGGGAGCGCTAACGACATGCATGGGCTGTGGCAACTCGCTGCAGCGGCTGACATGGAGCTAATGCAGAGTGTCGACACGGCTTGGCAAGCACAGGCAGCCCCAAGACACGTGGCGTGTGTGTGTTTAATGTGTGGTGTGTGTGAATGTGTGATGTGTATGGGGAGCGGTGGTGTAGCGGTTAGCGCGCTGCGCTACGAACCTGGCGACCCGGGTTCGATTCCCGCTCACGGCCAACAGCAGTGACGATTATCTGAACCGGTCCCGAGCCTCCCCTAGGTCGACTCAGACTAAAATTAGTACCTGGTGCAGTGTGTAAACATCACCACTAGGGAGACAAAGGCGGCCGGGCGTGATGTTGGCCACCCACCCCCTCGTGTGCCGTGCCGGCCTTCATAGGTGCTCGCTAACAGCACTTGCCCCAACAGTCTGTGAAGGCTACATGGGGGATCTTTCTCTGTATATTGTTGTACATTTATCACGTGGTTTAGTGGTAGTTTAATTGAAGGTGGAGGGGTTGCCAGCCCCTCGCAAACATCCAGAGCCCCCAGTAGGAGGCTGCTAGACTTTTGTGCAGCCCATGGGCTTGTAATTACCAACACGCTGTTCCGGCATCGGCGCATCCACACAACATCATGGATGCATGCCGGGTCCAAGCAAGAACATCTGATGGGCTACATAGTGATGGAACAACGGATGCGAACCCATGTCCTTGACAATCAGGACCTACCCTGGAGCTGATCTGTCCACTGACCATCGATTTGTCATCTGTAAAATGCGCCTGCCATTATTTCACTCCGGTGGTGGGTGTACACCCAGGACCCCATTCAAACCCACAGTGGTCTTGGTCTCAGCTAGCTGATGAAAGTTGCAAGCGAAAATTTCATCATCGCTTGCAGCTGGGGTTGGCATTGTCCCTCCCCCCTCTCCTCCTTATGATGCCGAGGGAGAATGGGAGAGGTTTAGGACTGTGGCTCATGCAGCTGCAATGGCAGCTTTGGGTACACGGTTCAAA